AGGCTGCGGAACAGAGGAAGGACGACGGACTACGAGGTGCGCGCTGGGGACAGCCGGCGGACGCGAACGAGGAACACGAGGACCGGTACGACCAGGACGAGCAGGCGAGACAGGACGCGACGCAGGCTCACGACGCACAGCAGGACTACCAGTCAGCTCAGCGTAAGGAGAAGGAGCAGGCAGCGGCGAGCCAGTCTGTAACGGAAGACCAGTAGACGACGGAAGAGTAAGAACCTGACGAAGAACAGAGGCAGACGGCGGCAGAGACGACGGAGACGGCGGAGCGAAGAACAGTCGTGTCGGCGCAGCTGCACCAGAACCAGCAGCTCCAGCAGCTCCAGTGCCTCCAGCAGCTCCAGTACCTCCAGCAGCTCCAGTACCTCCAGCAGCTCCAGAAGCTCCAGGCCCAGAGCCGACACCTCGAGTCCCAGGGTCTCCAACCTCTGTGTCTCCAGCAGCAGCACCCCCAGAACCAGCACCTCCAGTCCCAGGGTCTCCAACCGCAGGGTCTCCAGCAGTAGCACCCCCAGAACCAGCACCTCCAGCTCCAGGGTCTCCAGCCTCAGTGTCTCCAGCACGAGCCCCTCCAGAACCAGCAACTCCAGCACCTCCAGTAGACAAAGGACCAGCACGACTCCGAGCTCCAGCAGCGCGACGCTGACGGCGACCGTACCAGTCCTGCAGCTGCTGTGGGGTGAGAGGCACACGGGGACGAAGGCGGCCACTCCAAGGAGACCGCGCAACAGCAGACTCAGAACCCTCAGCGCCCGCACCCCCAACGGCTCCAGAACCTCCGGTGTCAGTACCCTCAGCACCAGTACCTCCAGCGACTCCAGAACCTCCAGCGCGAGCACCCTCAACAGCTCCAGGACCTCCAGCTCCAGCGCCACCAGGACTAGGCCCTCCAGCAGCTCCTGAACCTCCAGCGCCAGCACCCTCAGTAGCTCCAGAACCTCCAGCGTCAGTACCGCCAAGCTCAGCACCCCCAGACCCCTCACACGCAGGCTCAGCACCACCAGGCTCTACACCCTCAAGCTCCGCACCCTCAGGCTCAGTACCCCCAGACTCAGCACCCCCAGGCTCCGCACCCCCAGGCTCAGCACCCCGAGCAGGACCACTCGCAGGAGGACCTGAGTCACCAGTGACCTCAACCGGCGCAGTCAAGGGAGGAGGGTCTACCTGAGAAACACCTGAAGGAGCAGGACCGGGAGCGGGGAGGGGGTCTACCTGGGGAGCACCTGGAGCAAGGAAGAGCGGCGGGGGGGGGAGCGAGGCAGTGCGGTAGGGGAAGAGACGGTAAAAGGGAACCGACTCGTCGAACGTGACGTCCTGAGACGCAAAGACACGGCGCGAGGTGGGGTGGTAAAACTGCCAACCAGGCGCGTCAGGGACAAAGCCAAGGAAGACACAGGGAACAGCGCGGGCGGAGAGCTTGTCCGCGGTGGTATCGCGGACAAAGGCACGAGCACCCCAGACCCGGAAACGCGACGCATCGCCAACCTTCCCCGTCCACAGCAGTGTGGGCGAGGTCTCCGGCAAGGAGACTCGGGGCCAGAGGTTGAGCTGATGCGCGGCGTACCGGACCGCAAACGGCCACAGAAAATGGGGGGCAGCCGCATGGATCATGGAGGTACGAGCGACCTCCATGACTAAGCCAATGCGGCGCTCAGCAACCCCATTCTGCTGCGGAGAGGCCGGAAGCGTGAACGACTGGGTGATGCCGTGCTCCGCACAGTAGGCTGCCAAGAGGTCGGAGGAGAACTCACCACCTCTGTCAGAGTGCAGACGCAGGACAGGAAAGTCCGACCGGAACCGCTCGCGGAGCTGGAGACGAACAGCGCGGATCCAGGGGATCAAAACAGCAGGGACGTCCCCCTTGCTCTGCAAGGGGAAGACCGTGGTGTAACGCGTGTAGTCGTCGACGACCAGCAGGAAGTACCGCTCGCGGCCCTGTCCCTGGACGCGGGCTGGGCCCCACACGTCCAGATGGAGCGTCTGCAGTGGAGCCTCTGTGGGAGGAAACGAGGAGGAGTGAGGAGCGGCGCGCTGCCGCCCCTCGACGCAAGGAATGCAGGGCGGCGCAGGCGAGGGAGGGAGGGCAGGCAGGGACCTGGGAAGACCAGAGACCAGGGAGCGAGAGTGCATGCTACGCAGGCGAGGCAAGGAGGGGTGACCAAGGCGGTGGTGCCACAGGAGAGTGTCGTGCGACAAAGCGCGACACTCGCAGGGGGCCGCCAGCTGACCAGACGCAGACGCAAACGCAGACGCAGCTACCTGAGGGGACTCAGTAGTCAGTGTGTACAGACTCGAGCCAGGTGCACGGGTGAACGTGGCCAAGTGCCGGCCCGTCCTAGCACACGTACAGTGAGTCACTCGCTGACTCGCAGGAGTGAACTGGTCAACCCCCCCATCCTGGAGGTCAGCTCCACTCACCAAGTTCGTAGAGAACGAGGGGAGGTAAAGACCTGACAGCGAGCCGGACGGGACGGCCGGACACGGCAGAACCGTGGAATAGTGGGCAAGGACTGGACCCCCAGAGGGGTCCGCCAGGGAGACCGGGACTGGCCGACGGAGCGGCGTAAGTGCGGTGCAGTCGCGAAAGAAGGAGCGGGAAGCTCCTGAGTCAAGGGTGAAGGTGTGCGAGACCGCAGTGGGCGCAGTACCAGAGAGAGCAGACACAGCAGCACCTGATGCCACGGCCTCACCAGTACCTAGAGCAGTAGACGTACTAGCACCGAGAGCAGCAGCCTCACCAGCACCTAGAGCAGGAGACGCACTAGCACCTAGGGCAGCAGCCTCACCAGGGTCAGGCGGTACGCACAGGCAACAGGCACGGTCAGCACTAGTAGACAATGCATACATGGCAGTGAGAATAGCATCATAGTCAAGCGCAAAGATATCTACCCTCTGTCTATGCAGCTCCAGCCAGGTGGGGAGCTCAGCCTCGTCGCCAAACACTGTGCGCCAGTCGTCGCTCAGACGGGCGAAGCAGCGGGACTGTGTGTGACCAAGCGTCCCACAAGGCTGACCAGTCCTAGCACCTGTGCGAATGACGTACGGGCAGCGGACTGTACGCGTAGACCTGCTACACTGAGCGTACCACTCCTGGAGCTGCCGGGGCGTAAGTGTCTCACGTGGACGTCCCTGCAGCTGCAGCTGGCCACTGCCAGACGCTCCCAACTGACCAGCTCCAGGGCGACAGCTACGACGGCTACCGCGACAACCCCAGCTAGTATACCACTCACTAAGCTGCTGAGGCGTCAGAGGCTCGCGTGAATGTCGCTGGAGCTGCATCTGGCCACCTGCCAGTAGCAGTAGCGCAGGAAAGGCAGGCGCGGCAGGCAGGCAAGCAAGCAGGCAGGCAGGCAGGCAGGCAGGCCGGCAGGTAGGCAGGCAGCCAGGCAGGCAGGCAGGCAGGCAGACAGGCAGGCAGGTAGGCAGGCAGGCAGGCAGGCAAGTAGACACGCAGGCAGACAGGCAGGCAGGCAGGCAGGCCGGCAGGCAGCCAGGCAGCCAGGCCGGCAGGCAGGCAGGCAGACAGGCAGGCCGTCAGGCAGGCAGGCAGGCGCTCACCAAAGGCTGGGAGAGCAGGGCCGGCGCTCGAGTAGGCGCACGACAGCGGCGACGTCGGGGCCGCAAAACCGGCTGCAGAGCAGGGCCGAAACAGCTGGAGGGCGCTGCCGCGTCAGCGGCAGTAGCAGGGTGGGGCCGCGTCAGCGGCAGGTCGGGGTCGTGGCAGCTGCAGGGCGGGGCCGCATCAGCGGCAGGTCGGGGCCATGGCAGCTGCTGGGCGGGGCCGCATCAGCGGCAGGTCGGGGCCGAGGCAAAGGGCCGCGCGCGGCCGCGCTAGGGAGTAGCGGGCCGCGCGCGGCTCGGCGCGGGCTGTTGCGGGCCGCGCGCGGGCCGTGCGAGGCAGGAGCAGGCCTCGCGCGGCTCGGCACGAGCTGCTGCGGGCCGCGCGCGGGCTGCGCGAGGCCGTAGCAGGCCGCGCGCGGCTCGACGCGGGCTGCGCGGGCTCGGCGCGGGCTGCGCGCGGTTGCAGCGGGCTGTGCGCGGCTCGGTGCAGGCTGCGCGCGGCTGCAGCGGGCTGCGCGCGGCTCGGTGCGGGCTGCGCGTGGCTGCAGCGGGCTGCGCGCGACTCGGGGCGGGCTGCGCGATCTCGGTGCGGGCAGCGCGCGGTAGCAGCGTGTGTGCGGGCCCGACAGGCGTGTAGAGGCGGCGCGCGGGCCTTACGGGCCTCTAGGGGCAGCGCGCAGGCAAGGCAAGGCAAGGCAAGGCATACAAGGCAAGGCAAGGCTACGTGGGGTAGCGCGGTAACCGCAGCGGTAGGTGGGCCCGAAAAAAAAAAAACGGTCCTACGGACCTTAGTGCTCTGAAACCATGTTAGAATCTAGCAGCAGGAATGAATGAACTAACAGGATGCAGGAGTACAAGTAGTAAACCCTAACTAGGTTGTACCCCATATGGGCTACCCCACTACAGCCTAGACAATATGCAGCACATATAGTTTGACAAGACATGCGATTATATAGCGAGGCAACCTAACTAGGCGGGAACCTCGGGAACACGAGGTTGAGTGCAGGTTGGGCAAAGGAAAGCCGAAGGCGACGCGAGGTTGCTTCGGCAGCAAGCAAAGCGGCCGAACGTGCACTTCCGAAAGTTGGGGTTGTACGCGGTTGAGTATTCCCCAGTAAGGAAAAAGGGTTTTTCCTTACAGCATTTGCATGCAGGAATAGCTCAAGTCTTTTATTTACTCCACAATCTACACCCGTGCCCACACTCACAGAGGATTATGCTGACGGACCAAGCAGCGCCACGTCGCTTCACACCATCCACAACGACCGAGTCGCGCCTCTTGGAGGAAATGGGGCATCGTCATCTCGTAGTCTGGACAGGATGCTCAATTTCCGCTTTTGCTGCTCCCGCACCCCAACACCCTCAATCACCTCCGCAAAACAGAGCCTTTCCGAACCAGTAGTGCTTCCCCGGTGTCGCTCGCC